GGTTTATTATTATACCTTCATGTATTCGGCCAATCTGGTTGATGCCAATCGGGACTACAGGATTGGTCGGTTATTCTATTCTTGATTGGTTATCCGGAAGCTGTACCGCGGTGCGTGAGTATTCGTTGCACGATCACCACACTTTCGTCCGCCTATTCGGGAGTGGCTGTCTTCGCTAGCCGTTTGCTGTTTCCAAAGCTTTTATACCTCACCCTCAACCTGGTTTAACTCGCCTGTCGAGCGATTCACCGGGATGTGACCGCTGTTGCATGCCTCAGCTTCATGGAGCCACAGGGTATAGTTAGATACATGATGGAGACCGAAGACGCTGAGAATAATCGTAAGATGCAAGACAGTCAACCTACTCGGAGGTGCTACTCCTATCATATACCCCATACATACGGAGTGAAAGTTGTCCTATTGTATGAACGATACATGGTATGATACATACACGGGGATCCCGAAATTGAATGTTCTATTTATTCTTCAAAAAGCGCTCCTGAGTCGTGTGAAATAGTTCAGTGATTGGAGTTGTCAGATTGGAATGTTCAAATCAGTTTCAGAGTGAAAATGAAGGATTCACAAAGACCAAGGTTGTAATGACATTGAGTAGATGCAAGAGGTCCAGTGTTTACGGCTTTCAGTCACATCACTCTGTTCAATCATGGACTACGCTGATCTCGATGTCCGCATATAGAATGCAGTATACGACTTTCGTGAGCATTTCTCGTGGGCAGGGTTTTCATGCCGGTTCTCAGTTTGACCACCTTTGACTGTTTCCCACTCATCCCCTACTTCGAAAAACAAAGAGCGCTATGACAACCTGTTTGGAGACAAGCGTAACATGTCTCAGGCATCGTAGTCTGCTGAGGTTGACCACCTAGTCCATTGGGAGACCACGGTTACCTAAAACTGCTCGTAATCTCAGCATTGTTTGACCGGTTACCTCATCAGACTGATGCAACGCGGATGATACAGCTGTGTTCGAACAACTGTTTATCTCGCTTTCATGATGGGTAAGTCTCTGTGCCGCACAGGCGAACTGGTGCAGCCTACAACAAACTCTTTACAGACAGCCGGATACCGCGACGGTTCTACAGATGTCTCAAGTTGGCAAATGCCAACCGAGTCTTCTGTATGCGAGCTGACACTTCACCCATGATGCGTCCGCCAGGTACTACGTAGCTACCCATATAGCAAAAGTTGTTCACCACCTCTTACTTACATAATAAAAGTAAGTTTGGGAGCTGGACCAACCCAGTTCTGTAGCAACATTTTACACCATGAAGATGCAAAACGCATAACGAACGTAGTTAAACTAGCACTCAGACTATGCAGAAAAGCTGGAAAATTACCTGGATCATCACTTAGCAGTATAAGGTCGATAGCATGCTCCAGGCCAAACATTCTGCCATATGTGAGCAACTCAATGCTACTATACTCGCAAGATAACACGGCTGTTTCCACAATCAATTATCTAACAAAGTCAAATGGAAAAGGAGAGAGGGCAACCCTGATGAACATCACTTTCTGTGGTGAACTCGGGCGAAAATATGCTATAAGATTGAACTTCACTTCATTTATGAGTATAACGAGACCGTAATATCGAAATAAACTTCTCGGACACCATTCAGAGCGAGGCAGCACCATAGTTTAGAGCGGTCGAGTGAGTCGAAGGTCCCCTTCAAATCGACTGAGATAGAAATGGTAGACCTACGAAAAGAATTCCTGTCTTAGAATTTGGAGAAGAGTGAAAATGTGGTCCATACAACCTCGACCAGGTCTAAAACCATCCTGATGCTCACGCGTGCACCATTCACGTGCGGCACACCATCGGTGGAATATGAGGACAGTAAAAAGTTTGGAGATAGTGTTGACCGCACGAATTCTGTGACTTTCACAAGAAGTCTAATGTCAATGGGGACTAATTGAACTAGACTTCGAGATGTTCAGTCCAACGTTCTAGATGACGTTGCTGATGATGAATCAGTGTGCCATCAGACTCCTTAATTACCTCAATTATGAATACCCATCTTGGGCCCGTACTCCTAAATAGACAAAAAAGTACTATTGTTGCCAACATCCGCAGCCTTTTCCATACCGGCACATTTTGCTTCCCATTTACATAGATCCAGCAACCAGTTTCTACTACCAGTTAACCAAGGGATTGAATCTACCTGATTGGGCATTTAAAACAACTTAATAAAGTAGTCGTAGATCGAACATGACACTGCTTTCCACGCCCAATATCGAAACCTCGGACGGTTTGGCAGGTGATAAATAATTGAAATGTAGCATAAGTCAGTTAAACAAATTAAGAGTTTTGCGATCATCGACTAAAACTGTTTAGTCATACGACTAGCTGGCTCCACTGCCACGATGATCCAGTGGTATAATTTAATGGTACTCTATGTTCAATCCTGACCAATTATTAGCTCAATGAAATGTGCACGAAAGTTACGGATATTCAATCAAATGGAATCTGGAAGGGATAGATGTATTGGGCACCAACAGAGCTGACAGTCATCTAAGATAACATAGTGTTCAACTGTCACCTGATATTCCTAAACTTTTGAGCGTTCAGCCCTACAATGCTGTTTCCTACCCAGTCCAAATTTGATACTTAAGTGAAATTATCCAATTGTTAAAAAGAGGTCTGTGATTAAGCAAATCATTAATTTGTAGCAACTTTTCGAATAACCGGCTGAAATTCTGAAACAAATAAGCTGCTTACAATTGTGGAGTCTCAGGTCAACTTAAAATGGGCATTGTTTTCAGTGTACCCTGCGCGGAATCTCATCCCGCTGTATTTATTAGCTGCTGGTGGTAGTGGTGAAGGTGACAGGAAATGAATGAAAGTACACACTCACTTGTGGGTGTTTCGCGTAGTCTTCCTGCCATGTATCCATTCGGATCATTCACTTTGAGATTATTACTGAAGTCCTGATTCACTGTGACTACCTCATCAGAGGGTCGAGCATCAACCGTCACGGCTCTTCGATCTTTTGGCAAAGACTGTGGTTAGAACAAGGACATTCAGAGAATTAATGTTGTCGACAGTCGCTGGCCAATGCACAACACATGTGGACGAACAGAAATAAAAGAAGTTTTGCGATCGATAAGGACAGAAAATTTGATAATCCAACTGCAAAAAAATTAATCAACATCTAGCAGATCGCGAGAAAGCATTTTGAGTGATCTTTACTAATGATAACGCCCGAATGCTGAAGATAGCCGAGGCGATTACAATAAGCCGGCGGAAACCACCTCTGTGTCAACAGAAGGATCTGTTCATCACCTTGGCTTTGCCGTGGCGACCCTTCTCCTATTCACATTTGTTTGCTTAGTAATTCATTCCGAAACCATATGTAAACAATGTATTTGTCTGCAGTATGCACCAGTTGAGATCTAGCGAAATCGTGCAATGTTACTGTACTGGCTTCTCTTTTCAAATTTAACAATCCAACCGAGGAAGAGAGTTTAAAAATCTTTTAAACGTTCGGTATAAGAAGCTTGTCGTGTGTAAAATTCCAAGTCTCGATACCTCAAAGTCACAATGGTAATTCATCAAAACGACTGGCGGCCGAAGGCTCTGCTACTATTCACACACAAAAGTCCAGATCTGTAGCCAGAAATCGAAGAGTGATGCCTATTTGATTGAAAATTTATATAATCCGAAAACCTACTTTTCCATAATCGCGTGACGTTTGCGAAACAGGAAGACCGAATTTTTCGAGTGTCCAATAAAAGTGCATTAGAAAGTGTACTCCTTGTCCGATTGAAGTGAAATTTTTATTTCCTCGAGTCTCCGTGTTTTTCAAGTTTTAAATGTGTCTTCAAGGTCGACTATATACGAAATTATACGAATTTCACAGGAGAAATATGGTATTGTGATCCGACCATTTTTCACTGGTCGGTATAGAGAAGAACTAACTTCTCTATCAAGTATGGATGTGGTTTAATTTTTTGACGAGAAAACGCCTGTATTTGGCTGTTGATGCACCAGTTCAACTTATGTTATTTACTATAGGTGAAATTATTCTCAATCATTTTCGACCTCTGAAATGACAGCCCACGCAAAAAGGTTAGTACTGAAAATGTCCAAACGAGCACGATCTTGCATAACCACGCT